GTATGGACTCGTGTGCTTTTTGATAGTTGCCCTCGTACTGAATCTTTTCCCACAGTCATTACAGGAAAAAGGTTTCTCTCCTGTATGGACTCTTGTGTGCACATTGAGAGTTCCCCTGTCACTGAATCTTTTCCAACAGTCATTACAGGAAAAAGGTTTCTCTCCTGTGTGGACTCTTGTGTGCTCTTTGAGATGTCCCCTCTCACTGAATCTTTTCCCACAGTCATTACAAGCAAATGGTTTCTCTCCTGTGTGGACTCTTGTGTGCACTTTGAGATGTCCCCTCTCACTGAATCTTTTCCCACAGTCATTACAAGCAAATGGTTTCTCTCCTGTATGGACTCTTGTGTGCACTTTGAGATTGTCCCTCTTACTGAATCTTTTCCCACAGTCATTACAGGCAAATGGTTTCTCTCCTGTATGAACCCTCATATGAGACTGTAAGTTACCTTTTCTGTTAAACCTCTTTCCACATTCATGGCAGTCAAAAGGTTTCTCCTCTTTGTGGAATCTTAAGTGTTTCTTTAAGTACAGTTTACACGAAAACTGCTTTCCACACTCGGAGCAGCTGTATGGTTTTCCTGCTGTGTTAAAATCTTTATTATGAGTTACACCAGAGTCAGACACTGGAGTTGGTTTCCGATATCTGTTTCCATCCACAGTTTCAGGCAGAGTATGTGAAGATTTCCCCCAATAATCCTCATCACTGACTTCAGTCTCAGAGGAGTCTGATGTTTGTTCATCAGTGTTTGATGCTAAAGGGTCATCTAGGTCTGGGTTCCCGGCTGCTTCTGGTCCTCCACAGTCCTCTCCATCAGCTTCTGCTTTCAACTGTTCAGCTGAGCTGCTGCTTGGAGGCTCCGACTCTCTGTTACCTTCTGTTTTGATCTGATAGAGCTGTGAGAGCTCAGGTTTCTCTTCTTCATTTTCACTCTTCACAGTCACAGCGCTACCTGAGAACTTCCTGATATCTGTTTCCTGTCCATGAAACGGCTTCTCCTCCGGACTGGTCCACAGTTGGTCCTCTTCCTCCTTTATGTTGAGGCCTTCTGGGTCCTGTTGGTCCAGACCCGGGATCCAGGGATCTTCTTCTTTAACCACCAACACCAGCTGAACATCTGCAGGTAAACCTGAAACACACATGGAAATAATTTTTTTATTCTATTTTATTTAACCTTTATTTTACCAGGAAGTCCCTTGAGATAAAATCTCTTTTTGGAGGGAGACCTGGCCAAGAGGCAGCAGTACAGTCAGACATATAAGAACATAGGACAACATAATAAAATCAATCATAAACTAGACCCTAGAGTAACAGTTACAATGCTCTGTGCAAGCGGTTTTCAATAGTGATTTAACATGCTGTAGCGGAATAAGAGTCCGTAATTGCAGGGAGTTTTGAATATTGTGCCATGACCATGGTGCTGCGTAGAAAAAAGATGTTTTGCCAAGACCTGTGTTGATCCTGGGAATGGTGTAAAGAACATGACTTGAAGAGCGTGAGTGGTAACCACCGTTAGCTACAGACATGAGGGGACACAGGTATGGAGGGAGTCTACCCAGGGTGGCCTTGTAAATGAAAGTAAGCCTATTGAATATACTATGGTGTCAGCAGCATAGAGGTGAAATTTAACAGATTTCAAGTTATTTCCAATGTCATTTATAAAAATAGTGAACAGGGCAGGTGCCAAAATTGAACCTTGAGGAACTCCCTTAGTCACTTCCAAAAAGTCAGATTTAAGTCTGTCCACGTAGATACATTGTGTTCTGTTTGAGAGATAGTTTTTAAACCACTCTAGTCACTTATTCCAAGCTTGCAGAGTCTGCCTAAAAGTAGTTGGTAGTTGACAGAATCAAATGCCTTACACAAATCCACGAAAAGGCCGGCACAATGATGTTATTAGAATATTATAATATAATGGGTTAGCTTGTATTTACCCTGATCTTTGTTATCAACAGTGAAAAAAAGACAAGCTGGTACTCCTCGCAAAAGCCTCCGACTGATCACATTTTGTGGTGTTACAATTATAATATTACAGTTATCATCAATCCAACAAAGCTGCAGAAAGTGAACCACAAAGTAGCAGAAAGTGAGCTTTTGCAGGGAAAGTAATACCTTGAAGAAAAAGACAGGTGAATTACAACTCAGGTTATCATAAAGAGGGTAATGGAAAAACTGTGGACGCGGTCCTTCAGGCTTCTGTTTGCAGCATCTGGACCAAAGCCGTCAGCAGGGCAGCCATGATAACGGCTGTGGATGGCTTTGCTAACTCCTCTCCCAGACTGGAAGTTGTTGCTTGCAACGAAACACAGAAAAAGAATTATAATCTGAATTTATCTGATCATTCTTAACTTGGTAATGATAAAACATACTTTGCATTTATCTATTTTATAGATTTACTGTATGTGTCGTATTTTCTGCACTATAAGGTACCTAAAAGCTTAAATTTTCTTAAAAATCGAGGACCACATTTTCTACAACAGAAGTAGTAAAAGGAGAAGTGCAAGGTGCATGTGTGGTGAAGAGGCGCCACCTTCTGGGGATTCTGGAGTACTACACAATGTCCATTTCTATTAGTCCCCTATTTAAAAGTCAACACAGTAAGAGAAAGAAGCTTTTAAAAAATGTGGACATTAACTATGACAACAAGTAGTTCAAAAAATTCTATACCGGCATTTTTTTATTGATTTTTTTTATGTGAGCTTTAAGTTAGCTGCTATATATTGTGATTGAACTAACGTTTGATTTACAATAACATATCAGACTTCTTCTTTCACCTGTTTACTGAATTGAGGAAAACTGACATTAGCACAGGAAAAATAATAAAACCGCTGTTTATTCATTTTGGGAATGAACAAAGTAAAGTTTGACTGATTATCTAAATTTTTTGTTAGCATTCCCTTTAGCATAGCTGTACCTAGTGGATGCTAACGCAGCCCAACAGCTACTGGAGCTTCTACTCTATGCGCCTTATAATCCGCTGCGCCTTATAGTGCAGAAATAGGGTAGTCCCTTTATTATTATCTGATCCCTGTCACAACGCACCAGATTTAAAAATAAACACATTTTGATATGGTAATGAAGGGGGTAGCTGCTGTCTTAAGCTCCAGTATGCAAAATATTTATGTTTATAAACACGTCTGTAGCGGACGCAGTTACATAAGCATTTTTTCTGTGTGAATTTATTTTATTTTGTGAATATGAATATGTTTTACTTTTAATATCCATTTCATATTTTGTGTATTTTTTTAAAATTAATATGTACATACTTTGGGGAAATATTGTAATAATGTGAGATGGAGACGTCACCGATTAGGTCATCACATGATCACGTGATGCCTTTGATAGGAAGTTCTGAGTTTCGTTTATACTCAGTCGGCGTGTGCAAGAGTAAAGGCAAAGGACTGAAATATAGAAAAAATGGACTTCTAGCAACTCTTAACTTTCTGGTTGGAGGGGCATACGGTATGGACAGTTCAGAGAATTTATATTTTGTTTAATAAGTTTCAGTTGATAATTCACATAAGGGAACATGACGGTTTCACTGATGAATATTTTCCACCGTGTATTTTTCAGTGTTCACGGTGGTGTTGGGCGTTTGTATGATGGAAAATCCTTTAATAAAACGTTTGGAACCATCAGTTGGATAATTGCACTTGCATCAACCAGTTAGAAAAAGTTGGGAGCAGCTATAGGGGCTCTCCGAATGGCAGCAAAAGCCGTGCAGTCTGGATCCTTACCCAGATAAGGTCTGTTATGGAAAAAGTTCTTTAAAAGAGTGAGGCAAAGTTTCCTAATAATTAAAGAAGATCGATCTTGTCCAATGAAGAGATTTATTCGAAGGCAAGAGCGTTCGAAGACGCAGTCACAGAGAAAACCCAAGTGAATGCGCCCTGAACAAAAGGCACGTCCCCTTTTATAACTTCATATGAATAAAAGAATGAAGAAGAAGTCACTGTGTTTTCTTATCAGCAACAAACAAAGAGATTCTGATTTACATTCAGTCCTCAGGAAGTCCTATGGAGAATCTCCAAAGGGACAGTGATATGCATATTCTCAGGAGACAGGAAAGGGCCCCCATGTGGATTGGTCAAAAGGAAAACCTTCTCAGGTGTGAGGGTTTCACAAAAGGGCAAGTAATACAATTTCAATGATAAACAGGAATGGGAGATTCATTCTTGATGAGATTAAGGAAATTGTTGCATTTCCTAGTGGTGCTAAAACCAGTCTTCAGACGTGTGAGACGACTCTCCCTAAGGCAATCAACAACAGTAGCTTTAACAAAGAAACAAAAGAAAATTCTCCACGACAGGTCTAATTAAGTTGTAGAAGTCGATGGAACTGTCTCGCTGTGCGCTGAAGGAGGTGTTGCTGATCTCATCTCTGGCGTTTTGGGAATGGACGTCATAAAGACCAACTCTTTATGATACGTCATTTGTATGAGAAAATGTTTTTTGTGTACTTTTGAAAACCTGATAAGCAATGTTCTCTATTTCTGAAGACATACTGACCCACTTTCTGTTTTACTCAGTTCTGTTTTTGGCTCTCAGGCAACAAGTAAAACAGGAATACCAACTTATACTTCAAAACAATGCACACATGAGTCATTTGTCCAGAGAACAATCAGATGACTGTCTGCTTTCACTTTATTGTTTTAGATAAAAGAGCTTGTGATATGAAGAAATACCAAAAGTTAAAGTAACCAAACACCAGGTAAAGTCACCAGTTCATTGATTTAAAAAAAAAAAAATCAGTCTTAATCACACCTGAAAATAGAATTTGAATAAAAAAAGCCCTAAAATATAAGTTTAATTCACATCTTCTGTTAAAAAAATAGCAATAAGAGAATGAGACAAATTCTGAATAAGATTTAAGAAAAAAACTGAGTTGATGGTGGTGTTTTCCCTGGTTTTGACGATAAGACGTGACTCCTTTCTGCATTTCTAGTCGTCAGAGGCTTCTGTGGAGGAAAAAAAACACGTTTTCATTTGTGATTACACAAACACACAATGCATTTGTTCAATTTAGAACTTCCACCAAAATTACCAGATTAATTCAAATGGTTCGGACATAATAAATAAACTGGTTAAAAAGAGAAAAAAAACAAATAAATAGAAATAAATAAATAAACTGGCAGCATTTTGTCGTTGAGTGCAATAACAGCAGCATCTTTTTTTTCTATGGCATGATGTACACCTCATTTCAGCACTGCCTTTTTATACGTTTTAATGTAGTTTCATAAAAAGGTCTCTCTCTTCAGATGCCAAATTCTCCCAATTCTTTTTCTTTTGTCTATGACCAGTTGAGTGTGCACCTATAGTTTGTGAAGTACAGTAATCGTAACAACTTTTTTTTCCTTCATGTTGGCCCTATTTTCTGTCCTGACTATTTATTTTTATAAAGGTTTACAAAAGGGGTTTCAAGCTGGACTCCCTCTTCAGATGCCAGATAAGCTTGTTTTTGTTTTCTGTGTAATGATGGCAATAATAGTAGCAACCTTCTCAGTTTCATTTTTCTCTAAGTGGTGTAATGTACTCATGACCTTACTTGAAGGAAAAACTGAAGGCTTACAAAAGCTAAGGACTTTGTGTCTAAACCAAAGGTGTACACTAAGAAGCTGGGTCAGTAGCTAAGCAGGTTAGTTAACTTGTGGTATAGGTAAAACATCTAATAGCAGAGCCAGGAGTCCAGATTTTCCTGACTAAATGATACCTGCAGGTGTATCTATTAGAACTTCCTGTAGGTTAACTGAGCCTGGCTTATCACCTAACCATGTTCTTAGTATACACCCTCTGGTCTAAATCTCTCCTGCACTTGGTTGTGTGAATCATTTTAAGTGAATTTGACCTTCAAGGTTTACTCAAATATAAAAAATGTCATTTAAACTGCATTTGCCTTGTTTTACAAGACATTTCAGATACTTTAAGACTTTAACTCAAGTAACATTTCAGTCAGTGTCTTGGACTTTTACCTAAGTCATATTTTGGAGAGGTACCTATACTTTACTTGACTGTGAGATTTCAGTACTTAATACAACACTGCATCTGGACCAGGCGTGTAGAAGCAGGGGAACCTCTAAAAACAGTGGAAACAGTGGAAAAGCTCCCAGTTCCCCATGTCGGCCAGCAGGGGGCAATGAATCTGCACCCAGACAGGACAGAGGCTCTTTCTGCTGACGGACGTCTGGAAGGAACCAGTTCTACCAAAAGAACGACCTGCCCACCACTTTGGTTCAGTCCAGATGTTTGTATTTTCATCCCCAGAGGTAGCAGAACGGGCCTGCATAAAGGCCTGCTTTGGGCCCATATGTCCACTCACCTGTACAGCGGGGGGGCTCGGGGCTCCACCGGCCTCCTCTGCAGACTATCTCCTCAGCACCCTCTAATTTGAAACCATGGTAACAGGAGTACCGAGCCGTCAGTTTCCCAGATCCTGAGGACAGGATGTAATCCCCCTGCTTTATTCGTCTCGGAGAGCCACAGCGTTGCAAGTCTGGAAATGAGAGATAAAGTTTTTCAGCTCAATACAAATAAGGAAAATCAAAGCAGGATAGAAAAGGCTAACCGGGGCTCTTCTTTTCCCTCCAAGCCTCCAGGTTTATGGATGGGATGCGGCAACAGCCCACAAAACCTGCAGGGTACTCCCTGAACCTGAAGGGATCCAGGGGGACCTCTGTAATGTGGCTGTTGTCACAGATGAGACGGGACACGGATCCTTTCAGGAGCTCCTCCCTCTGCTGCCCAGTGAACACACCCTCAGCTTCCCACCAGAACCTGAGGAGAAAGCAGTCAGACGCTCCACCGAGGCCTTTCTACTGTAAAACCGGTCACTCGGTTTTGCTTTTTGCTTTTTGCTCCATGCCATAGTCTTGTTTTTGTTCCATAGCCATGTTTTTCACAGCCATGCCATAGCCTTGTTAACCTTATTGCTTTGATACTTTGTTCATAGTTTTTTCAGAGCCTTGTTTACCGTTTTTGTCATAGCCATGTTTTGTCACAGTTTTGTTTTGAACTTTGTCTGGACACTCGGAGGGCACCTGTCTCCGTCCCGGAGGGCCTTCATCTGCTTCCCGATCAAACAGGCGAAGAGCGGCCCGGTTCTTGATCCCGGCAGGAAGTGCTCCACCAGCCCTCCCAGCCAGACGTCGATGTTGTCGGGGTGTTGGTACAGATTCAGGATCTTCTCGGCGACCCGGCGGTCCCTCACCACCTCTGTCAGATCGTCCAGAGTCTGGACCCGCCTCAGCCCGCAGAACTCCCTCCAGTCGTTGTACCCTGCAGAGATAGGTCGGCACAATATTCCCATTCCAGCAGACAGAGGATTCCTGCTCTGAGGGAGCAGCTCCAGGCTCTGGTTCCTGAGTTTTTAAAGCAGGATGGGAGGCAGAGCCTTCAGTAAGCAGACCCCTCCTCTATCCTGTCACGTCTGGGGGAATGTCTGGTGTGTCGTCATGTCTTGATTACCTATTGTGTTCCCCTGGGGTTCCCCTCCCTCATGTGTTTAAATAGTCCTCGTTTCCCATGTCCTGTGCCAGTGCGTCTTCGTCACTTTTCGTCACCCCTCGCCACGTCAGGTTTTGCTTTTTGCTCCATGCCATAGTTTTTTTTTTGTTCCATAGCCATGTTTTTTCACAGTCATCCCACAGCCTTGTTAACCTTATTGCTTTGATACTTCGTTCATAGTTTTTTCACAGCCTTGTTTACTGTTTTTGTCATAGCCATGTTTTGTCACAGTTTTGTTTTGAACTTTGTCTGGACATCCACTCTTTTGAGTGTTTCTGTTGCAATAAACCCTGTTTTTTCTAAATCTCTGCGACTGAGTCCTCCAAGATCCACCTTTTTTACATATCCTTAAGACCAGATTGCGGACTTTCCTTCCTGATAAAGCCGATGGTTACAGATGCTCACAGAACTTGATTAGTTTGTTCTATGAATTATTCCCCGTGTTTGCACAGTCTTTTGTAAGTTTTAGGCTATTTCTGTCCTCCTGACGCTCAGAAATTAAGAAAAGGTAAATATTTACCGCACAATTTACTGTACGGTTCTATTCGGTAGCTCAGAAACCTGATCAGCGTGTTTCTGACAAAGATGGAGGCCTCCAGCTGTCTGATGGGGTTGGCATATCCAGTGTGTTCATCTTTGGCTTTGTGCGTCACAGCCAGCTGTTGAACTCTTTCCTCTGGGGTCGATAGGGGAACTGTCTGTAACCTCACTTCCAAAACCAGAATAAAACAACACAAACCCGTTGGATTCCCGGACTCTGGGTGCAGCTGCTCTCCTCACCTGGGAGGCCGTGGTCTCGTCCTCTCTGCAGGTTCAGGGAGGCCAGGTCCATGTGCTGATCAGCGTCCAGGACTGCCAGCCTCTCGGTCACCTCCTCCACCAGCAGCATGTTAGCATTAGCAGCCGCCGCGGGGGTTCCAATCACACCCCTCAGAGTAGGCTCAATCCCACCTGAACACACAATGAAACCTCTCAGAGTAGGTTCAATCCCACCTGAACACACAACAAAACCTCTCAGAGTAGGTTCAATCCCACCTAAACACACAATGAAACCTCTCAGAGTAGGTTCTGTTCCACCTGAACACACAACAAAACCTCTCAGAGTAGGTTCAATCCCACCTAAACACACAATGAAACCTCTCAGAGTAGGTTCTGTTCCACCTGAACACAATGAAACCTCTCAGAGAATGTTCAATCCCACCTAAACACACAACAAAACCTCTCAGAGAATGTTCAATCCCGCCTAAACACACAATGAGATTATAATACCAGATTATAATCAGTCCTCTTCAGGATCTTCTGTGAAATCAAATATATCCACAAAGCATTTATATAATGTCCACCCTTTTTAAATTATGGACAATTTTCCCTTCCTAAAGCAAGTGATCCTTTACTGAGGAAACACTTTGAGCCTTTAGCTTTTTTTTTTTAACAAAAATTGCTTTTTGTCCCGTCTGGGGGAATGTCTGGTGTGTCGTCATGTCTTGATTACCTATTGTGTACACCTGGGGTTCCCCTCCCTCATGTGTTTAAATAGTCCTCGTTTCCCATGTCCCGAGCCAGTGCGTTTGTGAGTTTTTAGTCACCCCTCGCCACATAAGGTTTGATTTTTGTCACAGCCATGCCATAGTCTTGTTTACTTTATTGCCATAGCCATGTTTTTGTCACAGCCTTGCCACAGTTTTGTTAATCTTTATTTTGCACTTTGCCATAGTCTTGTTAACTTTATTTAGGATTTTGCCATAGTCTTGTTTTGATACTTTGCCACAGTTTTGTTCACTTTATTTGATACTTTGTTCATAGTTTCTGTCACAGCCTTGTTTTGAACCATGTCTTCCATCCACTCCTTTTGAGTGTGTTTTTGTTAAAATAAACCTTTTTCACCAATCTCCGCTACTGAGTCCTCCCCTAAGATCCACCTTCATGACACCTTGTAAAAAACAAATATCTATCCTATATATACCCTATCTTCCTTTTTCAGTGGAATTCATCACCTACAGGCCTCATTTTAAAGCTTTATTCTAGGAGTGATAGATTGCTATTTTAGGTCATTTTGGATCTGGTTGTCAGTCTTCAGCTTAAAGAAAAAGTCAGCAGTCCTGCCCATGTGCAGAGTTACATGTGACCGGTTCTTCCCAGAGGACATAACGGACTCTTACTGGTCCCACCGGACGGTTTTCGCGGAGCCGCACTGAGTTTTTCCTTGCCTGTGTCGCCTAGTGCTGCTCATGGTGGGAATTGTTGGGTTTCTGTAATTAACTTCAGAGTAGGTCTGACCTGCTCTGTTTGGAAAGATAACTGTTGTTGTGATGTGGAGCTATAGAAATAAAACTGAATTGAATTGAACCTTCCTTGACGATCCTCCAGGGGCTGAAGAAGGTGTGGTGGAGGCTCAGGCTGGGGAAGAGCGGGTGCTCCTGGAAGCTGTGGTTCAGCCGGCTGAGCGCGCTGGAGATGGAGGCGTGGCCGAAGCGGAACGCCGCCGTGGCGAACACGTTGGAGGCCGAGGCGTCCACGGCCGGGTCGTAGCCCCCGTAGGCCCCCAGGTGCAGCTCAAAGGAGGCCCGGCCCACTATCTTCGGGACATAGTCTCTCATGGTTATGATCTGGAGGACGGAAGGGATGGGTGGAAAGCTTCTGAGAGGGTTTAAAGATGAGGAAACCGCACATCCAAAGGCAAATCCGGTTTATCTGACAGCACGTTTAGTCTACAAGACAATGTAAAGTGCTTTAAAAGCAGAAAATAGACATAAAGAAAATATCACAATAAGTAAAATAAAACAATAATTGATTGAATAGATTAAAAGTGAAGAATACATTAAGTTAAACAGATGTTTTCAGCTGGATTTAAACACTCAGAGCTGAGTTCTGTCTCACGTCTTCATAAAAAACTCCAGATTTTGGGAGCATGAGACTGAAATGAAGCCTCCCTGGTTTGGTTCTGGTTCTGATTCTGGGCCCCAGCAGGAGACCAGAGCCTGGTTCTCACAGTCCAGCTGGTCCAGAGATGGACTTCAGACCATGAAGAGACCAGTTTTCCAGTTTCTGTTCTCTGAGAGACGGGAAGCTGAGTGAAGCATCAGGAGGAGCTTTAGTCCTCCCTCTGGGGTTTAAACCAGCCTTTCTGCTCTGTTTCTTTGGTTTAAGTTATGAAGTCAATGAGATTTTCAGTTGCTTTCTTATTTCATTTGAGAAACTTAACTGTGGCCATGTGGCAAGTGTTTGTGTGCAAATTGAGTTATGTGTTAATACGATATGGTGATTTGAATACTTATTTGATTGATCCCATTGGGGAGATATTGTTTGTTTGGAAATGTTTGGTCCATTGTTTAATCTTTAATGATATAATTCTTCTTTGTTCTCCCACTACATCCAGTGAACTTGTGAGTCGTAGCCACCACCCACTTACCATTTAATAAAAGTCTCAGGCATTGGGCTGACCTCCATGGTCCGTGTCCTCCATACCCAGTCGTCTGATCGAGACTCTGTCCACCCACGCTACACCCGAACAGTTTCCTCACAAACACACAGACGCACTGTCACGTCTGGGGGAATGTCTGGTGTGTTGTCATGTGTTGATTACCTATTGTGTTCACCTGGGGTTCCCCTCCCTCATGTGTTTAAATAGTCCTCGTTTCCCCTTATCTTGTGCAAGTGCGTTTTCGTCTGTTTCGTCCTTTCGTCACCCCCACGCCAGTCCAGGTTTGCTTTGTGCCACAGTCTTTTACTTTGTTCCATAGCCATGTTTTGCCACAGCCTTGTCACAGTTTTGTTAATCTTTATTTTGTTACTTTGCCACAGTCTTGTTTACTTATTGCTTTGATACTTTGCTCACAGTTTTCCACAGCCTTGATTTTTTACTTTGTCTGGACATTCACTCTTCATGAGTGTTTTTTGTTACAATAAACCTTGTTTTCCGTCATCTCCTCACCTGAGTCCTCCTTCAAGAACCCACCTTCCTGACACGCACTCAGCCAATCAGACATGTCTTATCTGAGACCGATAGCAGGCGTCAGGTGTTATCGGCCCAGAGACCGACACCAGGGGAGGCTGTACACCCCAAAGCCCAATCCAACGGAGTCTGACGGGCGGAGGGCAAATGAGTGTTTTCTCACATCTGGACACATCTGGAGGTGGTTTCCTTCTGACCAAACGGTGTTAAAAGGAGGTTTTAGCTCAGAGCAACAGGACTTCTTCTTCTTCTTCTTCTTCTTCAGTCATTCTCACCTGTAGAGCTGTGGGCGGGGGAGTTTGACTCTGAGGGATGAAGATGTAAACGGCTGTTAAACAGTCTCTGCCCCTTCAGATCTGCTCTGTTTTCTTACTTTACCACTGGTTATCTTTGTTTCTGGTCTAATTTTCTGCCTCCTCCTGCTCTCTGTGACGGGTTTATGTAGTTTTGTGGCCGTATTGTGTTATTTTCCTGGTAGTTTTGTGTCTGATTAACTTAAATTTAAGATTATTTTGTGAGTGGTTGCTGTCATTTTGTGTATTTGTGGTCCGAGTACTCCCCACGACTTAGAATTTCTGTACATTCAACTCTGATGTTTAAACCAGCTTGTGCTTGTTTTATGTGTCCTTACAGTGAATGTCTATTTAGTTTTTATTCTGGTTAAGTTGTGCTTATTTTTGCCTCTTTGTGGTCATTTTACATGTTTGTGGTATAATTATTAATAAGAATACACTTGTTTTTGTTACTTCTCTAAATCTGAATGATGTTTTTAAGTTAATTACACCTAAACATGTTCTACTTTTCAGGATTTCTTTCCAACTTGATTTTTGATTAAATCAGTTGGATGAAAAGCAGCGATGAGTCTAGTAGAAAATGAGCTGTTTTCTCTTCTATTTCTGTCTGTGACTAGCAATTAGACCCACTGACTCCATGACTTCCTCTAAACGTGGAGAGAGAAACACTCTTTTATAAGGTGACATACTGATGCAGCAGCTCAGGATAAAACCATTTCTTATGGAAGTGAATGATTAATACGCACAGATATGCAGTTTTTTCTGTTTTGGACTTCTTATCCTGTGGATTTCTCCCAGTGGGCAGAGCAAGCAGGATTCACCAGCTGCTCATTGTTGTGTTTTTCTTTCCATATGGTTGAATCTCAACAGCCAGCTTAACTCCTCCAGCATCTGCTCTGAAGAAACCAGCTCTCACAGGGTAAAAGTCACACAGAACAGCGTTTCTCTCTGCTGTGCTCTCGACAGCCACTCCAAAAGCTCCGCTTTAGCGCACTGAAACAGGAGCTGCACCAGGAGTTAGCCTCCAGAAAGACCCGTTGGAGGCTAATTTTTCTGAAAAGTCGGATTTGCTCCTGAATCAGAGGCTCGTCCTGCGTCTTTTTCAGGGGTCGCGTTCACAGTAAAATAGTTACAGTGTTTTATCTGCAGCCCTTAAGACTGGAAAAGGCTCTGCAGGTTAGAGCGTCCCACAGGCCTCTAATTAGGAAAAACAGCCAAACGGGGTCACCCAAGATGGAATAACACTGTGCATAATTCAGCCTCAGCAAAAAGATTTGCTGTGTTGGTCTAAAAAGACAAGCTGCAGGTCAAACTGAGCTCAGGCTTCATTTGTCCCCATAAAATAACGTTTGAGAAACAAATGGAACGATCAGAAATCGTTTTTAAAAGGAAGTAAAAGAACAAATTCCTATTTTTTTCTGATCTTTGGAGCTTAAATTCCTGTACAGAGTCAACAATAAGAGGAAAGGCAGCAGACTCAGAGGGTGAATTAGCTTATTTAGCCACCGGTTCAACAACTGGGTCCAGTTCAGCTGGACCTGGAGAACCTGAACCTCACAGAGGGCTCAGCTCCTCCAGGTTTATTGTTTCCTTTAGCGACGGCTAACGCTAACAGCTTGGCTAATGGGGTGTTGTGCTCCAGCTTCTGGGGGGTTTCTGCTTCTGTTTTCTGAAAGGGGAGCGTCATTGTTAGGATGTTGCTTTGTTTTGAGCTTTTAGCTGAACGGTTTCGTTCTGTAGCTCAGAAACGGGCCGCTGTAACGATAAACTGTGTTTCCAACTCAACGCCGGTGCTGTCTGCACTCTGGCTCTTAGCACCACATTATCAGCATGTTTCTGATCAGAATGGAGGCCTCCAGCTGTTTAATAGGATTAATTAACAGTTTTTTAAAGGCAGTAATTAACAGCACACACTGAACATCTCTAAATCAGTCCATTAGCATTGTTTGCTAGCATCTGCTAGCTAGCTGCCGAGCTATTAATGGGCTGAGCAGTAGCTCCTGAATGGAGGCGTTTAGCTCTTACTTATTGAAAAGGACGCAAAGCAAATGGTGGTAACTCCTCATTTGGGTACAGGATTCTGATTTAGGTTTTCAGTATCAGGTTTGCTACCTTTTCGGTCCATTTTGGGGGAAATATTTACAGTCAGAGTTCACAAGCTGGAGGTCCAACATTTGGATAAACCCCTCAGGTGGTTGACATACAAGAAAAAACAAGATTTGGTTTGGTTCAATGGGAGATAAACGATTCAGGGGGAGTTTAAAGTAGAGAGGATGAGGGCTTTTTGAGGGGAAGATGAGTGACTGGTGGTTTAAAACCAACACCAAGACCAAAAGACCTGACCCAGGTGTGTCTGGACGGGTGGGTTCAGGAGATTTCTTTTACCTGGAAAAGCAAAGATGGGGGTCAGTGACCTGAATAGGTCCTCACTCAGGAGGTCACCCGGCTGAAACGTCCTCGGGGGGCCCGGTTTGACGGTCGGTTTGAGCATCAACAGCCTCAGAAGCCACAGAATCCCCGGCGAGGTCAAAGGAAACGACCCTGTCAGAGTTTGCTGTGTATTTCACAGCCGGCTGCTCCTCACATCTGTCCCAGACCGATACGGTCCGAGTCCCTCTGAGCTCCTACTTTCATCCTAAAGATCCTTTTCAATGCAGCCTCATCATCTGGATATCCTCCTGTTACAAACCCCTTAAACACAATGAGCTCCAACGTGCACAGATCCTGGTTCTCTTCTGACCTTTGCTGTTCTTCTGAGGTGTAACTCGGAGTGGCAGCTTTGTCTTACTGACTGGAAAATGGCCTCTGCACAATCATTTATTCATTCTTTGTTACCACTGTGTTTCACTCAGGCCGTTGGTGACTAACGGTACTGAAACATTAAGCAGGAAGTGGGACTCCTGAGGAACAAGAAGCCCAAGACAAGTCGCAAACAGCCACGCAAACAGAGCTGATTAACATTTCAAAGTTTTCCTGGAGCAGCTCGGCTAAAGCCTCCGATTCAGAGACTCGTCTCTGTACTTAGAGAATGCGTGTATTCACAGCTTTCGGTCATCCTTTTATTCCTTTTCCTTCATTCATGCTTCTACAGTTACTTTTACTTTGTTGTCAGATTTTCAGCAAAGGACTCTTGTTCTTTGAAATGTTTTGTTAACGTCTGATTGTTCTTCTCTGAGAAGAATTTTTGTTTCATGCTTTGTTTTGTTGCTATGAAAGTCTGTTCAAATGTGACATATTTAGGCCTTTTTTAACTAAATTCTGCATGACTGAACCACTGAAATGCTGCCGCCTTCCACATCGTTTTCCCTCGAAGAGTTTCTTTCTTATCGCCACAAGGAATAAAGATATTCATGCTAATTACGAAGTGTAATGAGTCTGAAATGGTAAATACAACCAGAAAAGATCAATGCAGAGATAAAAGGGAAGCGATCAAAGTTTAGTCTAATCACCAACTAGCTGCTCTCTCTCACCCAGAACAACCAAACCAAACCTTGGTGGAAGAATTTTCTATTTATTTCCAGCGATTTCGCTAATATGCTCTCAGTATTGAGACCACTTCTGTCGGCCTTATGAACAATCATGGCAAGGTGACATTACAGAGGCTCAATGTGAAGCTTAGCTTAGCTTAAATACGTGATCAGTTTAGAAACAAATGTGTCCAATTCTTAGGGACGCAAGCTAAGGTTGCGCTCTGCTTCATAAAACTGATTCTACTAGAGATGTGTGAGTCAGCGGTTATCGGTAAAAAGCTACTTTTAATCAAATCAACTGGCCAGGATCCAGTCCAGAGCCCAGCCAAGCATGGTGGCTGGACTTAGCATAATTTTAATATGGATTTGGACCAGGTCTTCCATTTGGACCAGGTCTTCAATGGACAAGGTTTTCCACCTGGACCAGGTCTGGACCAGGTCTTCAATGGACAAGGTCTATTATTTGGACCAGGTTGTCTATTTGGACCAGGCCTTCATTAGACAAGGTCTTCCATCTGAACCAAGTCTGGACCAGGTGTTCAATGAACAAGGTCTTCCATCCGGAGGAAATGACAAGACCACCATGTAGACTGGACAAAAACACCCAAATTCCCCCAGTTGTGACACAAAGGTACGTATTTTTACTTTCATAGGCCCTGAAAGGTCTGATTATGTTCCCAAACGGTAAACTAACTGGGAGGGAGCAGGACCTGTGAGGGACCCACACTAGAGACGACCCTTTGGACCCTACAGGGGAGAATCAGGTGCCTCTCTCTCCAAGAGTGCAGCTTAACTCAGTTTTCCGTCACAAACCTGGTGCAAGGCGCCCACGATCTTGCGTGTTTCCTGGTATATGGTCTCGGGGCTCCAGTGGTCGTTGATGTGCTTCAGGGCCTCCGCGATCCGGTTGTGCTCCCGGAGCCAGAGGGTGTGCAGGGCGATCAGGGGCAGGCCCTCGTTGACCCGACTGTCCCCGGCGCTGAAGCAGTCCACCCGCTCCCCCCCCCGCGGATCCGCCCGGCACCGCGACGGCAGCCTGGCCACGAAGGGCAGGTACGGCCTCCCGTCCGGGTCCTGGAACCGGCGGTTGACGGCCAGCTTCCCCTCCAGGCCGGCCAGGTCCCGGAGGGAGCTCTGCAGCTGGGGGGTGTGGCCGTACACGAGCGAGGCATCCATGTAGGAGGCGGCGGCGTTCAGCTGCTGCCTCCCCACAGCCTGCCGGAGGCTGGACCCAGAACCCAGGGAGCAGTCCGGAGAGGAGCGGTGGAACGGCATGCAGCGCAAGTCCTCAGTCTGCAGGATAGAGAGAAAGCAGGGCGTCACCATCCCTGGATGGATGGATGGATGGATGGATGGATGGATGGATGGATGGATGGAT